TCGATCATAGCTACTGCCATGTAAATGAAAGAATAACAAGAAGAAGATTAAGCATATGGGAACTTGAATTCACATTTTGGATTGGATTTTTTTGGTGGATAGATATAGAAGCTTAATGTGTGGGACCCAATTTTGGTTTTGATAAATTAAAGGCGAACTAATGAAGATGATTACAAAAATGAAACAGACCGAGTTCACCTGGTCTTGAATATCAGTGGATTGCCAAACGACATACAAAGAAAACCTACTGCCATCCCATTCACTGCACCAATGGTCACCACCACTCTTTACCACCCCCTTTCTCTATTCTATTACGTTTCTTTCTTCTCTTTGCTACGTAAAATATATATGCAGCAAATCAATCATCATCGACATTACAATGAATGGAGCAAGGCACCACACTCTTCAATCCAATCAGATTGAATCTTATCTCATAAATTATACCCAAGTTCATTACAAGGTGAAATATGGTTTCGAATATTTCTTTTTACTTTTTTTATCGTAATGTGGTTTCAGAACTTATTCCAAGTAATTCTGTTTTTGTCACAAAAAGAACCACACCCAGAAAGGAAATGGGAGAGTAAAGCATGAAGAAATGAGAAAGGAAGTTGTTGGGGATAAAAAAAGTGGGAAAGAAGATTCTTTCATAGAAAGATAATCTCTCACCTTGTCCAGGATAGGAACCCTTGCATAAGGTGGAGTGTGCTCCATGTACTCAAGATAGAGGTATCCTTGTCGGTTAGTCGGCCTCAAAAAATTTTCTCTGTTTCCATCTGATTCGGCTTTTCCGACTTTTCATCGTCCTAAATGCGGCTCCAACTCTGAAGGCTTGAAGACCTGCTCTCACTTGAATTTGAGTTCACACTCTCAAGATCACTGCCACTTGAATACCTGAGGTCACAGTCGCTGTTGTGTCCTCCATCCTTTGCTTGATCACTGTCCCACGAGATCCAAAATTTAATGAAAACAGAACACAAGGTTTAGATGATTATCTAGAATGAAGAATTCTACTTTTCTTCCATATCTTTTTCTTCGGCTAGTACCCGTGAGATTGGAAGATGCCACCTAGGTATGAATGTTGTGCCGAGCACAAGCCTCTGCAAAATGCTCATGATGGGCTTTCGCACCCCACTGAATTTGATGTACTGTCTGTCGATCCTAACCTAAAAATCCTTCTCCACCAGATCGCGAGGATGTTAAATCCCAATCTTTCCTTTCAACATTTGTGGTTTACAATAAAATGGCAATTCATTCGCCTTTATTTAACTCCTTGTAAATTTAAGAAGTCGGTTGTTGTTGTTGTTATGTTTTCTATGAAATTAACAGCTTTTCTTTTCTTTTTCTCTGTAGTCTATTGGTAGGCACTGGGCACGGGTTTGATTGGTTACGATGTTGACAATTTGCAATGCTTCTTTCCATGTTCGAATCCCATGCAAAGCTACGAAATGCATAAATAAATAAACTTCAAAAGTCGGATATACTAAGACTACCTGCAACAAGGACAGAAAACCACTTATTGGAACAAACATCTAGATGAACCACTTATTGGAACAAACATCTAGATGACTAAGCTGCAATATGACGCTATGGCTTCCATCATGGAGATCGGGCATCGTGTAACACATTTTTGGACTGTCAATTTTCAAGATTTTCAAGTTTTCATAAATTTACTCGATTTACACTATTTTTGAAGTTTTAAATCTTATAATTAAAGGTGAAAATATATTTTAAGGCTATCACAAGGATTTTCATTATTGAAACCACATTTTTCTGACACTATTTGAAGATGCGTTTTACTTTGGATTTCAAACCGCACCCTTTTAGTTTTATTTGGAGGTCTCTCTCCCCCCTATTCTTTTGTAAAAACTCTAAAATTAAAGGATCTTTAGAAAATAAAGTGGGTGAGCATCGATTTTCTCTTTGCTAGGGAAAGAAGATATAAACAATAAACAACTTTCCTGGTTATTAGTGGATTTAGCCACCTCCTCCAATGGAAATAGCTTATGCAAAGAAGTCAAACTGCTTAAATTTGGTTTTGTTTATATGGTATAATATTTTTATATAAAAAGATAATATTTACTTTTCGTACAAGAAGACCACAATTACTCTTGTCTAACTGATTTTAAATCGGGTTATTGTACGTGTGTCAATCACTAGAAACATTCAAAAAAAACCTCAAACTTTGTGGCACACAGCAAGCCATCCAATTTGACATCTTATGGCAAGAAGTGATTGTGACCTCCTTGAAATAATGGTAAATGGTCTCATAGTATACAATCTCTTAAAATAAAAATATAAAATAAAATACAAATGAATTTTTGGCCATTAGGAATTAAAGCTGGGCATAATAAGTGAAAATGTGCTACTGGAGTTTTATATGATTACCACATATCAAGGAAGTTGAAGATAAAGTTTTATATGACAGTTGTGGGACTAGCTTTGCTTTATAAGGTAGAATATTGGCAGTCAAGAATGAATATTGGCAGTCAAGAAATAACATACCCATGGGATGAGTGTACCAGATATGAGGAGATGGATGAGTGGCAAGACAAGAAGTGATAGAATTCAAAATAACTCAGGTGGGCTGGCCATGTCCAGTGCAGTCTCATAACAACACCTGTCAAGAGGTACGAGTTGGTTCAAGTGGATGGCTAAAAAAAAACAAAGGGGTAAGCCCAAAAGGATATAATTTGAATTAATGAGAAAAGATATGGAGACTTATATCCTCATTGAAGGTATGACCCTTGTAAGAGTAAAATGGAATATCATGATTCATGTAGGTATCCCAAATAGTTGCGAAAGAGCTCGAGCGATGATGTAGAAGAATTTGGAATAAGGACAAGAATAAAATTACCAAATTGCCCATTATAGTTGGAATTTCAAATCCATAATAAGGCATCTGCATAGGTACATGTCAAATGACATTTTCAAAGTGACGACCTTGTCGATAAATTAATTGATTTCAATACAATTTTGTCATTTAAAAGGCTATAATAAATTATATTTTCATCGATGGAACATATGTTGATGCAAACAAGCATATAACACAAAGGGGCGGCAAAATTGCCGACGTTCCAAATATTATGTCTTCTTACAACATTCGTATCAACGTCAATTCTAAGTCTGCCGGATTTGTAAGAAAATGAATACGAAGCATGGCATTTCGTATTTGTCAAAAGAATGTTGGTCCCATGGGAGAATACCATCCATTTGCTCTCACGGGTGAATCTCATGCTAGGAATATTTTTAGGACTCTTAAAGTTTGGGATGTAACCTTTTAGGACTCTAAAGTTTGGGATGTAACCTTTTAGGTCTCTAAAGTTTGGGATGTAACCTCTTGAGCATAGTGATCAACAATGAAAAACAAAATTCAGGAATCGATAGTTTTGTATGCTTCAAAAAAATAGCATCCCGGTGATTGAATAAGGGATGTCCAATTTTAAAAAGGGCCAGATCTCGATGTTGAATAACTCAAATTCATCTAGTTTTTTTTATTTCAAACTAGTCATCGAGTTTTTTTTCATATATATATATATGGATCACTAAAACTCAAATTTAAAAAGGAAAAAAAAAATTTTCCAAAATGTCTCTTGTGCGTGAGAGTTGATATACAGTGTGCTCCCTAGGGAGCATGCCATACACGCTGCTGAGCATTTCTCGGAACACTAATAGTAGGCAAGGCAAGGCAAGGTAAATCCTAGGAATTACAGTTGGAAACGCAACGCAACACGAAGTCAGGGAAAAAGTTTCACACCTTCCTACTTTACCTAGCCAAAATTTTGGACTGTATCTTTGTGTGATAATCGATGTTCAATAAGTCTATTGGAATTGGCCCTGGCCCTGTATCAATGGAATCTCATCATCCATACATGCGTAAAATTTTGGTCATGCTTTACTTATTTGTGAAAGAAAAATAAAGTACTTATTTTTGCCTCTAATCAAGTCCAAGCCTTCCCCCGTAGAAAAAAGCAAAAAGCAATATCAAAGTTCAAACTTGGAGATATGAAACTTAAATTAATTTTAATCTCTAACTTGAAGATCAATATAAATTTTTAAAACTCAAAGATGATAATCGAAGGATAATTTTGAATTGTTGATTTTTATCTTTTCTAGAGAGACTACATATAATGATGGATGTGCGATGCCTTGAGCAATGCAGATGTAGTTAGGCTCGCGCGGTTGTTAGATTCGAAACAATTCGATGCTTCAATGGATTAGGGAGAAGAATTGGGATGTTTTTAAAAAATTTAATATGAATGATTTATATATAAAATATATTAAAATAATAAAAACATAAAGATAAAAATGTTCAAAAAAACAAAATAAAAAATAAATAAAAAAATTCTCTTTCAGCCAAATCGAACCGAAGCAGCCTAAGATAAACAAATATGAGCACTAAAATTTTTCTTTCCCCCACAATCGTCCTCTACTAAAAGGATAAAAATATTAGCTTTTAGACATGACCATTCCATGATCTCTTTTTATTCTTTTAAAAATAGTTAAACCCATTTCAAAAAAAAAATCATTGAAGTGCTTAAGACTATAAATTTCTCGACTAAGTTAATCACTTTAAAGAATTTGCCCACATTAATTTTCTCACATTACCTTACTACTTTACTAAGAAATAAAAAATCTTGAACAAACAAGGATATCATGATAATTCAACCCCATTTAAGTAGCATCAATCAAATAACCTCGATAATCCCATTTTTTTCAAATTTCAAACTAGAAATTTTTCTTTTACTGAAACATCTTTTTCAAGGTTTAGAACCCAAAACAAGCTAAAGAAAAAAAAATGTAAAAAATGTAGCTCAAGCAGTCCGAGCCAAATAATAAAACTACCTTCATATTTTTGGGCAAACTTGGTTAAGTAAAATTATGAAAATACCGTTACTTTTCAAGGCAGTTGGTTATTCAACTCAATAGACTAACTTGAGGGTAATTGACATACAAACTATGTTTTTTCGATAAATTTGTAGATATTCACCATGCTTTAACCATTCTGATTAAAAAAATTTCCTTTATTATCTAAAGATATTCCATAGGTTGAAAACAACACTTGCAGTTACCGCTATTCACCTTGTATTTTCTTTTAAATACTAGGCTTTCACCATCGTACGTACACGAGAATTGGCCAAAAAAAAAAAAAAGGGCCTGTACAAACAATATTCACAGGCCGACTCAAACAAGTTCTTTTACAGTGCCTTCACCAGCTTGCTCATGAGACACAATTGCAACCGTTTCCTCATCTATTTCAAGACCAAGGCCAAAAGTGAGAAATGCAATCCTACGGCTCAAAGGAATTCAAACCCTCCAAAAAAGGGCAAAGAAGCTAGGACCTCAAAACCACTGGGTTTAATATGCAAAAAGTGAGGACATACCCCTTCATCTCCTTGGGCAAAATGAAATCTTATGGAAATCCATATATTTAATCTGCAAAATATGAGACTACAAGTTAAATTACATTCATTTAACTGACTTTTCCTCCCCTAATTCCCCCAAAACAGAAGATCCAGTCAAAACATCCAAACAGCCTCTTCCAACAAAGAACTTTTAAGAACAAATCAAAGAGTTGCAAAGCTTGAGCCTTTTAACGCCAAATTTAGGATGATATCCAGGTTTATCGACCAATTTCTACAAGGTCGAGAGCAGGTTTATCAACTAACTTCTACAAGCAAGGTTGAGAGAGAGAGAGAGCGAGAGCACTAACCTGCTCTTAAAGTTTTAGTCTCTATGGTGGAGGAAGAAGTGGAAGTCAGGGTGGTGGACCTGGAGCTGGTTGAGCCAGGAGAGAGAGGATGTCCACAAAGCATAAAGGCGCCACTGCTCCGAACCCCCTCCCCTCAAAGGTAGCCAAACATCACCTTGAAGCTTGTATGTTGCCAATCCAAAAGGTTCCAGCCTTATATTCTTTTCATTCTCTCTCACATCTCCTCCTCTCATCAAGCTATCACCATCTGTCCCCCAATCAAAACTATTAGATCATTCACCATTCCATACATGGTTCAACCTTCAAGGCTTAGCTTCAGCCTGGGCCCCAAGCTCAAAGTAGTATTGATTAAATATTATTTCACAAAAAATACTTCAAAGAACTATACTCCCAAGAAATTTTGTATATTTGGCAGGTAACCCAATCTGTGGGCCCAATCTACTGGTAGTACCAAAAGTCTTGACCTTCATTTTTACTAACGGATTAAAAAAACGGACTATTTCACAAATAGCTAGGGGACCGAAAATGGGTAGAGGCTCATCATCCTCACTAACTAAGAAAGAAAACAAGGACCATTATTGTGCCCTTTTATTGGTGGCGCTTGCTCTTAGCCTTCACACATTTTGTGCATATCTATATGTGTAAGCAAAAAGAGAACTCCAAATCCCAAAAGTACTTTGGTATGAATTTCAGCTGAATAGTGGCCAAGATTAGGGAGTCCATGACCACCCCATAGTTTCTGCCAAGGTGCTCTGCAAAATTGGATGCGGGTCATTTGTACTCGATTCTATAAGGAATTTAAGAAAAAATTACTTGGGGTTCAGAAAAATTTAGACCATGTCAAATGTTCCATAGCATCATTGGGTGCTTTGGCTTGAAAGACAGTTTTGGCAGTTAGGAACAATCCCTAGGCAGAGAAGGAAAAAATAAGTCAGAAAAATTAAAAACCTTAACAGAAGGACCATAGAAGAACTAGATAGACACAAAAGAAGCACTCAAAGACATGCCTTGGAAGGATGAGGAGAGGGTGTGGTATGTGAGAAAGCAGGCTGAGAGATCCCGAACCATTCGGCTTGGGGGTATGTGATAGATTGGATACCTGAAAAAATTGCATGGAGATATCCATTTAACATTCCAATAACACAATAAAAAATGAACTATGATGATTTCCAAAAGTATACGACACCTAGTAAATAAAAATAAACTAAAATATTACCAAGCAACTGACATCCAACTCGCAGGAGATAAATCGATGCTTCTCAAGGAGGTAAGCTCAGGGCATCCGGCAATAAGCTGGTTAATCTAACAACCCATCAAAAACTAAGTCAATTTGATCATAGCTACTGCCATGTAAATGAAAGAACAAGAAGAAGAATATTAAGCATAGGGGAGCAACTTGAATTCACATTTTGGATTGGATATTTTTGGTGGATAGATATAAAAGCCTTATGTGTAGGACCCAATTTTGGTTTTGATTAATTAAAGGCGAACTAATGAAGATGATTATAAAAATGAAACAGACCAAGTTCACCTGGTCTTGAATATCAGTGGATTGCCAAACGACATACAAAGAAAACCTACTGCCATCCCATTCACTGCACCAATGGTCACCACCACTCTTTACCACCCCCTTTCTCTATTCTATTACGTTTATTTCTTCTCTTTGCTAGGTAAAATATATATGTAGTAAATCAATCATCATCGACATTACAATGAATGAAGCCAGGCACCACACTCTTCAATACAATCAGATTGAATCTTATCACATAAATTATACCTAACTTCATTACAAGGTGCAATATGGGTTTCGAAATATTTATTTTTTACTTTTTTTAGCCTAATGTGGTTTCAGAATTTATTCCAAGTAATTCTGTTTTTGTCACAAAAAGAACCACACCCAGAAATCAAATCACGAGAAAAGAAATGGAAGAGTAATGCATGAAGAAATAAGAAGGAAGTTTTTGGGGATAAAAAAGAGAGAAAGAAGATTCTTTCATAGAAATATAATCTCTCACTTTGTCCATGAAAGGAACCCTTGCATAAGGTGGAGTGTGCTCCATGTACTCAAGATAGAGGTATCCTAGTCGGTTAGTCGGCCTCCAAAAATTTTCTCTGTTTCCATCTGATTGGGCTTCCCACCTTTCATTGTCATAATTGCTGCACCAACTCTGAAGGCTTGAAGACCTGCTCTCACTTGAATTCGAGTTTACACTCTCACTATCACTGCCACTTAAGTCCCTGAGGTCACAGTCACTGCTGTGCCTTCCATCCCTTGCTTGATCACTGTTCAATGAGAACCAAAATTTAATGCATTTTAATAAAAGAGAACCCAAGGTATAGATGATTATCTAGAATGACTAGTTCTATTTTTTTTCCATATCTTTTTCTTGGGCTAGTACGCATGAGAGTGGAAATTGCCACCTAGGTATGAAAGTAGTGCCGAGCAAAAGCCTCACAAAATGCTCATGATGGGCTTTGGCACAAAATTGTCCACTGGATTTGATGTACTGTGAATTTCTGTCGATCCTAACCTAAAAAGCCTTCTCCACCAGATTGCGAGGATGTCAAATTCCAATTTTTCCTTTCAACATTTTTTGTTTACAATGAAATGCCAATCCATACTTCCCTATTTAGCACCTTGTAAATTTAAGAAGTTGGTTGTTGTGGCAATATTCAGCTATGGCTTCCATCATGGAAAAGGCCCAAATATAATTTTTCATAGCACAATAGAGTTGTATGGAACTCAGAATATTGACACCAAACCAAGACTGTTTCAGGACTTGCAACACTATAATTGTTTAAGTATGAGTAAAAGTTTCAGATGGAAATTGTTTATGTCCCTTCCCAAGCTAAGTACCCACTGAAAAGTTGCAAATCTTACTTTTATTTGGAGGTCTCTCTCCCCCATCTTTCTATTGTAAAAAAACTCTAAAATTAAAGGGTCTTTGGCTCATGTGTTAGAGCAGGGTTTGTGTTTTGTAGAGAGAGTATATTTGTGAGAAGAAACCCATGCACCTTTGAGAAAAGGACATTTCTTGATAGAGAGAGAATAAAGTGGGCGAGAATCGATTTTCTCTTTGCTTGGGAAGAAATAAATAAATAATAGAGAACTTTCCTGGTTATTAAAGGATTTAGCCACCTCCTCCAGTGGAAATAGCTTCAGCAGAGAAGTCAACTGCTTAAATTTGGTTTTGTTTGCGTGTGGTATGATATTTTTATATGCTAGAGTTCATTTATTTTTTCCTATGTCCTCTTAATTTTTCTCAACATATGGTATCAGAGCAAGGTTAGCAATGGCTAAGAAAACCTCAAATGCGAATGGAGACATTTAATGGAAGAGATGGTTTTAGGATATGGAAGAGAAGGCTAATGACTTGCTGATATGGAAGGTGCTAGATATAGAGAAAAAGCCAACAGGTATGTCAAAAGAATATTGCAAGGATATATCAATGTGAGGGATACCAGCACTATTCATCTGCTCCTCTCTAATGAAGTTCTCTACAATGTGAATAGATATGGTAGATGAAGGTTCAACATTTTCACTTCATTAAAGCTTGAAGTCTTTTATATGACAAAATTTCTCTCTAATAACCTTTATTGCACCAACAATTATATACAATAAAGATGAAAGAAGGGAAGCAAGTTATGGAGCATCTCATATATTCAATAGAAATAATTTGTGTGTCATCCACAACCACAGAGGTGGTCACAATCAGAGGAGGTCACAATAGCCCACTTATCAGCTGAGCTAAGGAAAATGCCCTATAACGAGGGGGGCATCTGCAAAGGCACTGGCAGTTAGGGGAAGATCAATGGTGAGGGAATCATCTAGAGGCATATCTAGGTCGAAGTCAAGGACCAAAAAAAGACAAAGGTGATTGTCACAATCATCTATTTTTAATAGAAAGTGTACACACTGAGACTGGATTTTTTGTACAAGGAGGTCACAATGACTTTTATCCATTGGATGTGAGATCTAATAAGATGAAAGTGCACCAAAATATTCGAGAAATTTTATTTTGGAGTTTGTGCCCAAACAATGACACATTCTCAACCACCCGATTTCAAATCTAACAGTCATTGTCAACTCCTTGTATCAAAAGTAAACAGTCTCATTGTAGACATTTCCTTTTTAATATATGCCAAGCAGATTAGGCACAGTTATGGCATATGCTCTTGGGGATACAACAAAGGTTAAAGGAACTTTGTGCAGGGCAATTATCAAAAGGTATAATACCCTGCAACTTAGACTTTTATTAGTATTGCTATTATGGTAAACAATTTAAAGTTGGATTTAAGTCTACACATCATCATAGTAAGGGCATCTTCAATGACATTCACTCGAATGTTTAAGGCCCAGCTTTCGTTGCATATGAAGCATTATATACCGTTTCTTTTGTTTATGAATTTACAGGAAACGTATGGCTTATGTAAATCTGATATTTTTGCTACTTCTAAGCAAGGGAAAACCAATGTAGAAAAAAAAAAAGAAAAAAAACTGGAAACGATGCAAAATGTCTTAAGGACATATAGTGGCTGAAAGTTCCCACCGAATGAACTTTCTGAGCTCTGTAAGAATGAAGAAAATGTTCCGTCACTTCAGTATTGCAAGTAATCCACAATAAAATGGGGTAGCATAAAGAAGAAACAAAAGATTACTCGAGAAGATGTATAGTATGCTTAGTAGTGCAAGTTTGCAAAAGGATTTCAAGGTAAAGTAGACAATATTGCCTGTTACTTGGTGACCCTATCATCTTCCACGGCATTAGACTTCTATACACACCTGTAGAGATATGCTTTAGTAAGCTCTCCAATTATTAAATTCTTAAAGCTTTTGGATTCCCGATATATGTTCATGTTAAAACTAATCAGAGGACAAAGCTAGACCTAAACTAAAGAAATGTATTTTTTTATGGTTTCTAGTCAGGAGCCACAGGGTGTGAGTTCCTAGTTTCCACACAATCTTTGATTGGAATTGTCTCCAATAAGTGTTTCATGCTAAATTAAGTAATTAGAAATAGCTAATCATGATGATGTTGGTTTCAAGAATTGAATGAAGAAGCAAAGCTTCTTGTAGAGCTTCTTGAAATTCAAGAAAGTACAGGACCCAACTTTATAGGTCGCATAGCCTTGGCTTTTAGTCGGTGAAAGTTTGGAGCCTAGCACATTACCATAATAGTAGACAGGGTTAATAGCACCGAGTGAAAGGATGTTATGAATGAGGAGATAAAATCTCGTCATAAGAACCTAGCATGTAATCTGGTTCATCTGACCCAAGAAAGGAAAGCAATTGGCTGCATGCAATTTTCAAGATAACAGAAGGATGCTCTGAAGAAGCTGCAGACCAATATAAAGCACAACTGGTGGCGAAAGAATAAGCCTAAAAAGAAGGCATAGACTTCAATGATACCATCTCATAATAGTAAAATATACTTATAATTAGGTTCTCATTGCTTACAGTTACTTTGCATAACATACATCCAAAGCGTTTGAATGTCGAAATATCCTTTTCGCATGGAAATCTAGTTAAGAAAATCTACACAAGGGCGCGAAAAGAGACTTTTAGGCATGTATACCGGAATAAGTACGATTGTGGTGTTCTCTTCAAAGATATTGATAGTGATCCATTGATAGTTCTGGTATTATTTGGATGACGTGTTCATTGCTGGAAGAAGCATGTTAGAGATAAATAAAATAAAGACTTTGTCGGGGAAATAATTTAAAACATACCGAGGGTATGAAAAGAGACTTTTAGGCATGTAAATCTCTATAAAAAGAATGGGAAGTTGTAGTTATCACCCAAACCAAAAAAATCCCTCTCCAGGCTGAATATGAATTTGAAACCTGTTAGTACACCCCTTACTACAGACCTTAAACTCTCAGTAGATTTATGTCCCACATGATTCTTGATTCATACGCTAGTTCAATAGTCAGTATCAAGTATGCAATGGTCAACCTAGGCTAGACATCACGTGAGTTATTCTTGTTCTCAGCAGGTATATGGAAAGTCCAGGAACGAAACGCAGTAATACAGTTAAATGGATACCTCATTACTTTCACGGTACATACTGGTCATATGTGTCATAAGAATGCTATGCAGGATGGATAATCTGGAATATTTTGGAAGTCCTGATTGATGGAGATATTGACAAGGGAAATTCCAGTACTGGTTAGGTTTTCATTCTTGTTGGTGGATCAGTTAGTTGGAAGTCATCATTGCAGTCAATGATTGGTCTCTCCATTAGTGAAGTAAAGTACACGGCATAAAGCAATCAAGTTATCTGGTTGAAAGGCCTTATGAGTGAGCTTGGTTTACTACGTGATAAACCAAAGATGTATTATGATGGCCAAAGTGCAATATGTTTGGCAAAAAACATTACCATGCGAAGACCAAGGATACAGATATGAAGTACTATATTTATTAGGAAGGTCATTGCAAAGGCATAATTTCACTTGTAAAAATTGATAATTCGAATAATGTTGTTAGATGAGAACCAAGCTTTTCCCAGTTCAGAAGTTAAGTATAAACTTATTCAACACATGCCCAAGATGTTGAGTGTCCAGACTTCACGATGTGTTGGAGACGAAGATTGAACGCCTAACTAAAATGGGATGAACCACATTCAAATAGGGGGTGATTGTTGTCCCCAAATTCAAATGTTCCCCTTGCTTTGTAAAAGCTCTAAAACTATAAAGGGTATTTGGTTTGTGATTTTCTTGCTCATTATTTCAGAAGATAATATAAACTCCCTGTGGTGAGGGTTAGGCTTATGTTTTGTAGAGAGAATCTAAGAGATAAAAAACTCATGAACATTTGAGGAAAGGGGGTTTCTTGAGAGAGAAAACAGAGTGAGCAAAAATCATGTTTCCTTTGGAAGGTAAAAAAAATACAAAGAGAACCTGAACACAAGCTTTCTTGGCAATTAAAAGATTTAACCATCTACTCTCATAGACATAACTTCTGCAAACAGTTGCACGTAAATGTGGTTTTGTCCTTGTGTGTTGTTTGATCTTTATTTCTACTGGTTTCTATTTTATGTTTCTGATTATCGTTTCTCAAAATTTTCCCAAATGTACCCCACTCCTGGGCAGAAGTTCCTGCCAAAAATTTTCAAATCCTCACTTTCATATTCAGAAACCAGGATGAATTTCAGGAAATTTATCTGTATATCGCTATAATGCTTCAACTTATTTTATTCAGGTGTTCAACGCTCTAAAATGGAAATCCTAAAGATACCTATAGTGCTGTCGTTATTCTGGCCTGTCCTTGACTTCCCATAAACAATCCAAATATGCTAAACTCTACAAATTCAAATAATAAAACTAGGACAATCGTGTGGTGATCAAACCTGAATGGTGAAGTTGGTGTAATGGGGGTTCGGGTATAGATTTGTAGAGCTGAGAGATAAGGCACATAATATTGTAGAACAATTTCCCCAGTTCTAAGATGAACAGGAACTCCTGCTCCATATGCACTCCACTCGTCGTAGCAGTTCCATAGGTCTCTCAGCCTAAAATATTCCGAATACCCATTTTCGAAAGAACCCCATTGTTCGAGTTCCTCTGAACCATGAATATAATCCTGCCAAGAAATGAAGCAGGTTTTGATTAAAGGATTGGTGAGTTTGAAAATCTAGGTTCCAGTCCCGTTTTTCTTGTCCATGAAAATGGAGAACCAAATTTCAAAATTCAATTCACTTAAATCTCAGCCATGCTACACAAGTTTGGCCTCTTGAACAATTGAATGCAAGGAAAATGGCTTTGAAGGCAAACAGTTTTTATTAAAATTCTCAGCAAAAATTTTCACCTTCTTCTCTTTTTAGTAATGCCATTTTGTTTCAGAAAAGTTTGAATCAGCTTACTGAAATTTCTGTACAGAGAAAAACAAGTAAAGATGAAGATAAAATTGTAACATTTTTTAGGAGATGAAACCACAAAGGAAACGAGACAGAACATATTTCAAGAAACAATACTAAACCTACAGACTTTATACTCATGCTTCAGAAATCAATAACTGATATAATCAACAAATAATCCTAAACCTTGAGAATTCATAGCCATGTTTCTGTAATCAATAATTTAAATAATTAACAAGTAATTAGTTGGAAGTAATTGCTGGTGCGCATATGTATGTATACATGTATGGCACAGGTCCACTACGTATATATAAAGGACTTGGACATGTGAGTGCATGTTGCAAGGCCAGCTCGTGCATGAGATTCATGCAGGAATTAAAGATGTGTTTTCCATGGCTACATGTGGAAGAATGAATACAATGATAGACAAATGTTCAAGGAAGAAAATGGACAAGCCTGTTGTTCATGCCTACAAATCTAAAGATTTATGTGCACACATTCGTATGTAAAGAGGTGAGTAAGAAAATGGATGCGAGAGAATAACACAACTAGTATGAGTGAACACGTAAGAATTAATTAACAGTCAAGAGGCATTTTTATATCATTGGGGGTTCATTGCTATAACAGTAATATGAACAAATTTTCACTTCCTACAATTGATACTGATAGCATGAGAAACAGAAGAAAGAATGAGATGTTAGAGATGATAAGCAAAGAGGTTTTTCATTGAATGCTCTAGTAAAACTTGGCGGCATATCACAAATGAGTATAAGAAGGACCTTTATTAATTTTTGTAGACAAAGAATTAAACTTTTTAAAGAGAACAACAGTCAAGATTATTGGATCGATTTTCTGGGGCAATTCATGGATCAGCATTCTCAAAGAAACTTCAGAACTTACACGCCTTTAAGTAAGTAGTAGTTCTTCTTACCATGTTTGAATAGGAAAAATATTTTGTCCACTGATGCAGCTACATAGGTCCGCCCTCCCACATCAATGTGCCTAGGAGCATTTTATTTTTATTTTTTGTGCCTCAAACTTGGGATACGCTTCCCCTAAGCCCGATGAAGAAATCAGACATTCTTCCTCTTCATAAAGAAATCCGCAAAAAATGTATTTCAAATAAAATACTAAAACAATTTGGGCTCACTACATACAGACCGTTCGTTTTAGATTTCTAACACCTTTTTTATATATAATTCTTAGGAGTTTCTTGGCGCCCACCAAGTTGGGCACCAAACTCACCGCCAACCCATGTCGCCACTAGGTAATTGGACTCGGCCAAGTTCAAAAATAGAGGTGAAGACATAAAATCCACAACCAAAATGAGGTATTGCAGTGGGACTGGGGTTGGGGCATTGGTGGATAGGGGTAGGATGCCTCAACAAAATCCCACCCTCTATTCCCACCATTAACACAACTTCCAAAAAAAAAAAACAAGAAAGTGGCCTTGCAAGATGAACCAACTTTAATACTTTACATCATTGTTTGCTCTAGATCCATGATCATCGAGCTATCGGTTTACAGATTCCTTGGCGCAGAGTTGCAGTGTACAATGAGAAACACATGGCCTTCGCAATATACTTCTCTTCTACTAAAATATTGATGATACTGTGGAATACGATGTTAGGAAAATGCATGTTTCGAGAAAAATTATCTCAACCATTTGTCAAAACCAATTTGACATAAATAACAGTCTGATATTAGAGATATGAAATGAGAGCTGCCAACAATTATGTTTTCTTTCTCCTCCCGTAATTCCAACCCAGGCTCCCTCGGTACCACGCTACTAGCTAAGAGTCGTTTTGGGAAGGTGACATGCTCAAATTCAGTCAATTAAACCAAAAAATTAAATACGCGCCTTGGTGCCTTGGTTCCGCTTGAAAAGGACCACATGCCAAAGTACTCGATTTGTAAATTTTTTTCTAACAGAGTGACTAACTACTTAAAAAAGGATTACACTATTTCAAATAAGATAAAAGTGCTAAGAAAGTGAACTCGACCAAGGGACTTGTCCCTGGCCGAGCCAACTCTGGTCAAGTCCTGCACACCTGAACAAAGGCAAAAAACAAAAAAGAATAAAAAATGAAAAAAATAGTTTAAAAAAAAAAAGAAAAACATAAAAGAGATAATAGAAATCATTAGAAGTCTAAAAAGATGAAAAAGCTCTACAAAAGATGATTAGTGATAATTTTGATTGATATTGAATACTTCTAAAAAATTTAAAAAAAGAAAAAATTATAAAAATCTCCAAATCACCTTAAAAACTGTCAAAATCATCCAAAAAACTAATTACAAGTAATATTATTGTGTTTATCATTTTTTTTCATTGTTTTATGTTTTATATTTTTTTCTTCTCGATAAAGTTGGGGCGAGTTGCCGTGGAACTCGCCCCAGTCCTCACCTATTGGGCAAGTCTGTGAACGCTGTAAGATAATAGGCAGGTTAACTGCAATTAAGTGGGTCAATTGCTCGAGAGAGTAAATGTCCACCTCTTTATTTTTCTTTCTATTGTTGAAAGATATTTACATGAACCCAAGACTTTATGATAAAAACCAAACTCATACATCAAACATCGCACCTGAAAACCAGTGCCTAAAAAACCATCATCGACCTCAATAATCATGAATTTAGAAAAAATTGATGAAAACATGTTTCCAGTTATATATCATCTCGACTTTAAATTTTGTAGTATTTATTGATCAACCATACTTGCACTAAGGAATGGGCTGGGGTTGTGGTGGTAGCATCCCCACACCCAGTTACCATATCCGCTGATATCCTCAATTAACACCACCAAAATGTAACTTCCCCAATCTACTGAAATAAATGGGTAGGGGCTATCTTTCAACTGAATTACCTAAAAAAAAAAAAACCATACTTGCACTATTTTTGGACTTCCAAATTTTGTTAAAAGACATGGAAAATAAATTTCAGCCCATTACAAGAGTTTCTAGTACCAAAGCAGCATCTTCATAAAAATTTGGAAGCCTACGGCTGTGTGTAAATTTCAATGGAAGTAGCCACCCATCTTTTTAGTTATCCACCACTAACACATGCTAAGCCACCCAGTGTTGGGCAACTGCCTTAACAAGTGAGCGGGACCACACCACTAAAATTAAGTTTTTGGAAAGATAGTCTCTCATTATAGAAAATGAACGGCAGATGTTTAATTAATTATTAGAGGTGGCAATGGACCTGGGCACGACCCCAGACCCGAGGGGTTGAACCTGGGTTTGGGTATGGGGCCAAAAATTGGACCCAACAAATGGATTTGGGTTCAAATCTTAGACCCAAATACTATTCATGTCTGGGTATATTTTTTGAATCCTAATATATGAAATATAATTAAATACGTAGATATTTTAATTTTTTAGTGGGATTCGATCGGATCCAGGTCCTACCCTATATTTTTGGATATGGGTCCCCTAAATTAGGGTCCAAGTCCTATTTCATTTTTGTAGGTCCTGGACCACCGGGACCCGACCCACCCCTATTAATTATGTCGGTGAGCTTTTGTTGTTAAAACCCAGTGTAACCACCCCGTTTCAACTTCCAAGGAAATAGAATGACTAAACTAGGGCAAAAAAAGATACGTTCCCTCGATGGGTTGAATCACTTTGCAATCAGTTAAGGAAAACTGTTTCATGCGGGCTGGACTTTATTTCTACGACTTTATTTCTACAATATACCGCGTAAAGCATCCATCTTAAAGATAGACTCAAATAGGTGGTACATTTAAAAATAAGTGTACCCAACTATTCAAATGTTATTTAATATAATTATTATTTTTAAATTTTAAATTTTCTTTTTTTTTTTTTCATATTCATGATCTCTATGTTTAAACATTATATATTCTCTAAAAATTAAGATCAAATTATATTTAAAAAATATTTTTATTGCCAAGCCCGTATTTTTACAATATGAAGGCTAGCTTCATAGAAACCGAGTCCGTCAGTTAAATCATCTTATTTAACGTTAAGAGCAATTTTTTAAATTTTGATTTCACTAAAGTACCTCTTTTAAAAGAAATTTCACAAAAATAACCATGCTACGCTTGTGCACTGTTGGAAACGGAAATGAGGAGTAATGGACACAACTATCAAATGATAGAAATACCCGTTATTCATTATTAGCAACAAACTCATTGTTTCTCAAATGTAAACCCCCCTCCCCAGAGAAACAACTTCACTCTTTTTTAATATGGGAAACAACTTCACGTTGCCAACTTAGAACAACCAAGAGGGCTAGATTATGGTGATGATTTATTTATTTTTATTATATTTCTTTTAAGAAAATACTTGATCGAAGAAAGATTTAACAAGCGATTCCTATGACCCGATGAGATGAAACCAATGTTTTAAATTCCGGATCGATTAGTTGAATCGATCATCCAAGAAACTGATCCGAATCGACAATCTGACTGATTCTCTCAAGTGAGGGAGATTCTGTCAATAAAAAATAAAAAATAAAAAAATGAAAATTACACGAGAACTTGCCCGCTCGTGACACTTTTGTCTGAAGTATCGCCCAGTTCCTAACATCATCGGGCTCGTTCTCCAACGAACTGGCCATTTACTTAGAAATGCTATTGATACCCGATTCTAAGTTTCTACCCGAGAATCGGCTCAGTCACTGCTGATCCTCAATCTTGATAGGACGATTCCAATCTAGATAGTCAATTTTTTAAATCATTGGATAAGCACATATGTAGGCAAAATTAAACAAGATTATAATTTTGTGAAGTGATTTGAACATTCTACGATGTCAAAAAGTGGTCGTCCCACATGAAAAACAAATCGACAATCTAAATTTTATCTATTATAAAAATGTCTTTTTTAATTTTAAAATTTATTTATTTTCATACTAATGCTCCCCACATTATATACCCATAAAAAATTACATTTTTCAACATTAAAATAGCTATTGTGATGGATTTTTTAAGTACACCTTAATTCTACATTTTAATGTTGCAACATTATATAAACGTTTTCCATTTCCATGTTTTTTGTTTTTCTTTTTTTTTCTATTTTTTGTTTGAGGTGAGGCTGGCAGCTACCTTGAAGAGAGTCTTGACTTTTTAACTTGGAAATCATGACGCACAGTTATTTTTTCTCATTCACATATCTGTTAGGGGTGAGGTGTTTGTATAAGGTGTCAACCTTAATCAATCACGGTAAGGCGCACCTCAAAATCTCAATAAAAGATGTATTTTAGGTGCCAAAATTCTTATCATGATCTAAAAGTTTATGTTTTCACCCTAATGATAAAATTGAAAAGCTTTAAAAAAATATCTAGTAGATCTATGTACACTTGAAAATGGACCATCTAAATAATGTGTTACGTTATGTATTATTTTTAAGACTTAATATTCCTTTTTTTTCCTCAGGTCCAAAATCAAGGTTAAGATGATGAAGTGGATAATTTTTTTAGTGACAAAACAACTTTTCTCAATAGGTTTTTGAAGTGCACCTTAGTTCTACACTACATTAGGTTGCCACCTAAGATAAACTTTTTCCTTCTATTAGGAAACTGGCTTTTTCTCAACCACTTTTAAGAAAAGACCACTCAAAAATCGAAGTAAACCACAGCTGCTTTTTATTATTAATAAACCACATGGAACGTTGAGAAAAATGCTTAGAAGAGGGGAGGAAAAAAACGAAAAAAATACCTTAAATAGGCGCTGTGCAGGGAACGATGGGGTCGTACAGTTCAGGAAACGCTCCAGATTCGAGTTCGCCCGCCTCTTCGAATCCAACTCCTTCATTTCCAACATTTTCCCAACCCTCTGAAAATTCTCTCTAAAACCCCTCTCTCTCTCTTTCTCTCTATCTCTTGTTAGCAACTAAAACCACTCAAATTTTACATATTTGTACCCCTTTATTTTCTAGTATCCAATTAGAAGCAGTTAATCTATAATAATTCAAAGCCTTCATAAGGAACCAATTCTTGATTCATTAGAGAGATTCAATAATGCATTTGTAGCTCAAAATGGATGATCCCATCATCTTTCAAAGCCTTTTCATTTTCAGCCCCAATTCACAAGCTCCCAATTCACAAGCTCCATTACTTAAAACTGAAGTAGCCTTCTTGTTGGACCTCTACGACTGCGAGATTTCTGGAAATCTGTAATTGAATAGCGATTGTAAAGAAAAGTAAAGATCACAGTCATCTCGCTTATGCTGATGCAACAAGAACAAGCAAAAAAAGGCAATATTTAGTGAGAGGGAATACTGCAGATTGTAGAACATTTGCAGTAGAGAGAGATTCATATAGAAATCATAACTGAAATAAAGTGAAATTTTCGAAACATAGGAAGCTACTTATAACTATAATCATTAAAGAAAAATGCGATCGGTTCTCTGATCATCTCTAAAGACAAGTGAACAAAGAATTCCTGAAAGCCATGGTCCTCAGTCGTCAAGAATTTCGTCTCTTAAATGGAGCTGAAAGAGAAAATGCAGTCAAAAAGAAAAGAAAAGATACTGCTTATAAGGAACAAAGAAAGAGAAAAGAAAATCCATGAAAATCAAATACTCCTATTAAGTCACTCCGATTATGAATCACAAAATTAACGTTTCTTTTGGATTCAATCAATTGTGCAAAACATTTGAACAGCTGACATCTATGCAAGTAAACTTGTGTTTGAAGTCTGAAACAGAAGACGTTATGCTACTAATTTCTCCATTGAAGGTCGAAGAAAAAACAGAGAAGAAGGATAAAAAGACAACAGAGATTATCAAAGAAATGCATTCTTCAAACAACCTCGCCATTAAAGCCCCAAAAAAAGAGACAAAAAAAGGATAAAGAGCAGTAAAATCAACTGAAACTCCACATCAAAAGAAAAAGAGGAACACATGACTCAAACTGAAGCGTTTCTGCAACCAAAACCGCCATTAATCCGTGAAAAGGCCATCACAAACCAGGCGACAAAGCAATTAAAAGAAACCAGCCATTAAATAACAGGAAAAAAAAAAAACAGTAAACAGCCACTAAATACCAGCTAAATTCTCAAAAGAAGCAGTTAAATACCATTGAAACAGCTTCAAAACTCGACACTTTCCTCGGTTGCAATTCTCATCGCCATGGCGCCGCGCGCAGAGCACCAGATGTATACGGACCAACTGGAGGGCCTACAGCCGTTGGACATAATTCGGAGCAGATGGGATTGAATCTTGGGTGTACACGTGTCCAGATGGATTAGCCTTGTCTTGTACCTCGAGCCCAAGTGGTGAGTGTACTTGGCGTCTTCGTCGGGTGCCACGTAAAGTGACGTCCCCAAGCGCCTAATAATTTGCCCTCGTTGAAATTCAATGTGAGATGCGAATATTCTCATCAACCGATTTTTAATCATTTTTCGAGTCCGGCCTTGTGTCGTTGTTGTACGGTACATGACCTTAAGTAAGGAAAATGGTTAGTTAGGGCTGCAGCCCTATCAAAACAAGTAAAGCCTCACCACATAGCTCGCCTAAAAATTGAATTTCAAGTATTGAAACAATAATAAAATAAAAATAAAAATTATATAAAGAGACCATTTATTTTTAGTACAATGTGATCATAATTAATCTTGACCATTAGATAAGAAATTGGGTGGTTGCATTTATTTCATTGACCATGCTCAAAGTTTTTTAAAAAAAAACTCTCGAACTTTGTGACACATCCAAACTATTAGATTTCACATCGGATGGTTGTAAGTAATTGTAACCACTCTATATCAAAGCTAAACGGTCTCATTGTATACAATCTCTAAAAAAAAATAAGATTTCAAACTCCAAAAATAATGTATACTGTTATGTAGACAGTCCATTTAGCCCGAATGTCCATAAATCCGCAAGATTTGTACCATATGTTAGTTTCAAAATTAATTGTTGGTCTTGAAAATTGATTTTAGAGCCATAATAGATATTTTTGCTGCCAAAATGGTTAGCACGTGTCCCAGTTATTGTTGTTCTATGGCGTTGTATGCACTGACCTGACTGTAACTGATTCCTATTCATCCAATTTCTATTATACGTTAAAATCGAATATTTGTTTGGCAAAAGGCTTAGAGCGAGATGGAAGAAGTGGAACAAAAGGAGAAGAAATGGCAGTGCTATCCAGATGAGGATTTGAGGTGAAGCTTTATTTTGTTTTCATAAAGCCTAGGCCTCATAGAAACTTCATCCCTCGAGTAAATGAAAAAGTCTATATAAGGTTGTAATTTTATATTTATATAAATAAGGCGCATATGTAAAATAGAGTAAAACAAAGTTTTTTAAAATTGAAAAATCTTCCAATTGATCATCTTGATCTCGAGATGTATAGATGTAAAGAAGAAAACATAATTTCAAATCCTAAAAATAATGAATCATGTAACAAATTATCTGAACCATCTATTTTCAAATGTTTATAAACATGCTAGATTTGCACTATAATTGTAATTTTAAATTTCATATTTAGCATTAAGCATGGTTTTTCAATCTATTACAAGCTTTATATTACCGGAACTAAATTTTCCAATAAAATTTAGAGGTGCACCTTAGTTGTATAGTTGCAAGCCTCACCAATAAGTAAAATGTGTCAACTCTAAAGAGAGGAACATTTTAGGAGTCCTTTTACATTGTCCATATGTTGAGTAAACCTTCAATTACTCTAGCCTAGGGTTTAAAAACCTGGATTGGTGGGGTGCGGATCGTCTATAATTAATTTCAATTATGATTATTTGTATATCTTTGATGAAATAATTTTTTAAAGAGAAATAAAATGAAATATTTAACTTAGGGATTGTATACAATGATAGTATGTACCTCTTGTATAATGAAGTCACAATTACTTACAACCATTCGATGTGAAATCTGATAACTTAAGTGTGTCACAAAATTCGAAAAAATTTCTTTAAAACTTTAAGTTTGATCAATGAAATAAATGCAACCACCCAATTTCACATCTAATGGTCAAGATTATTTGTGACCACCTTGTACCAAAAGTAAATGCACTCATTCTATACTTTTTTTTAAATTTATATACTATTACTTGTCCATGTTAAAGCACGAACCCGTATGGTTTTTTTAAGAGTGCTTTGTGACTTGTATTCAAGGTCCAAAGTTTGATTTCCCATATTTGAACGCCGTTTGAACCTCTGAGAATGGTAAATTTTTATATCTAGTGCCATTGTTGATGAGATTTTGAATGCATTCAGATAACCGAATACTCATATTTTGATCCAAGGTTAGATGGCGAAGAAAGTTTGTGATCTACTACAAACCTCTTACGCTAGGATCTCAAACCCTAGAGCTATATTAATCGTAGTGAATAAAAGCTAGGTTTGTAGAAAATATGAATGAAAAAGAGCAAAAAATAAAAATTTAAGTGGTTGGCCGATTGTCGATACTAATAAATAAAAACCATAGGAGAATATAATGATTTAGAATCTATCTTATAAGTCCTAATATAATTTTTTTCTCTTTAAAAAAACCCCACCCAAAAGATTAAGACAACCCATCTTCTCTCTTATATATTGTAGCTAAGAATATAAAGATTTTATATGGACCGCCAAATTTCCATTCCAATTTCATGATAGCTCCTCCCAATTTTTTCCTTTTAGTCGGCATTAACTTTTTTTGTTTAAAATATCATCGTACTCTCTCATCCCCTCTGCTCCTTTTTTCTCACTTTTTTACCTGTAAACTAAGTCGAACCAGTTTACTTGTACCAAATAACTATTCCTTTCTCTCTTCCCTCTTAACCCTCCCCCTATCCCATGGATCTCCTCTCTCTCTCTCTTTCATCATGAGCAAGACACCGTCACCGGTCTCCGACATGGATCTGCTCTCAATATTAACCTTACCCCTGTCGCATTTTAAATTTTTTTTAAAATATTTTATAGGTGTATGATAGTTTGATGAACCAAAAAGAAGATACAATTAAAATGCACCATCTGCTTTGAAAAATTGGACTTAATTGTAAAATATGAACAAACTATTTTTGAAATTCAAAATAAAATTGGACTTCTCTGTAAATTTCCCTACATTCTAGCACAAGTGATGATTATCCTGGGAAGGTGGTTGCCTCATGCATATGACTCGAGCCCTAATCCTATGCGTCCTCTCCTGTGGGAGAATATAGAACAAAGATCATTTTACCTTCGGTTAAAAAAGGCAAAAGACATCCTATTTCCCCACCCCCTGATTTCAGACCTGAAACTTTGAGCTCTAAATACTTTCACCTCCTCTACAGAACAGTACTTTAGTTAGGCATCCTCTGTATTTATATAACTCAAGGAAAGTTTGTTCCATATCATAAAGTAGGCTATAGTTTACATTTGAATCAGTCATTTCTGTTACTATATTGAATTCATAAGGAACTGCACTATTTGGTCCCCTAAACACCATTAGGGGCAATCAAATATAATATTATTGTAAGATGCCTTAGGTGTACTATTGGATTTGCACACCACATGGCCAACACATTTAAGTCTACTCTCTTTCATCTTATTGCCCGTTGGTGCCAACCCACGCCTATTGGCACTTAAAATTATGTTACAATAAGCCACTTGAGTTTTGATTCACTGTAGATAAGAAATATAAAGTAAATTCTTGCACCCAAAAATTTGATATTCATTCTATAATCTGAAGTTCAAACTCACCAATAATCCATGCACGAACAGGATCCATTCTTGAAATGATGAAATCGACTATTATCCCTCACAATTATATCACAACCATATGTAATTGATAGAAGCTTTGTAGCCGAATGGCAATCGGGACATACACGAAGATTTTTCACAATGCGTATAGGCATTCCCCGTTCCAAGTTGATGAGACCAAAAGCAATGGCAAGCTTCTCACTATGATAGGACAACGCAACTTCCTTCTCACTATCTTCTATATGCAACAAGACCTGAGTTTTATCTGGTTCATATCCTATAGACTTCAACCTTTCATGCATCTCATCCAACTTCAAGTAAATTTCCTCAGTTTGAGGATGAGATCGATCTCCGACAATGAACTCATGTATCACACCACCATGATCGATCAGACTACGACCTGGGTCCTTTCTCACCCCTCTCCATCTCATGGTTTCTCTCACCTTCGCCATATCATCCCATCGACCAGCGGCAGCATATATATTAGAGAGAAGTACATAGCAACCAGTTGCATTTGGATCTAACTCCACCACACACTTAGCTGCATACTCACCAATCTCAATGTTTCCATGTTTTCTGCACCCACTAAGTAAAGTCATCCAAATTACCTCATTTGCTTGCAGAGGCATCCTCTCTATGACATCCTTTGCCTCTTCTAAATGACCAGATCGACTTAACATGTCAACCATGCAACCGTAGTGCTGAATGGTAGGTATGATGCCATATTCATGGCTCATGACCTCAAAATACAGGCGACCCTCATGGACCATACCGGCATGGCTACATGCATTCAACACACCAAGGAATGTAAGAGCATGAGGTCTCAACCCTACACTTCTCATTTCTTTGAATAATTTGAGAGCATGATTGGCTAGACCATGCATCGCTAGCCCAATGATAATTGCTGTCCAATGGCCGACCCTCCTTTCAGGTAAGGACCGAAAAACCTCAAGGGCAATCTCAATGCTCCCACACTTCGAGTACATCTCTATGAGTGAAGTAGCAAGAACCGCACTTATTTGAAAACCTAACCTATCCATATAAGAATGAATCCATTTCCCCTTGTTAAGAAGCGCCAATTCAGAGACAGCAGAGAGAGCACTAACTATGGTGGCAGCATTAGGCCTCACCCTCACCTTCAACATTTCATCAAAAACTTCCAATGCCTTCTTTGGATGCCCACTATGTTCCAAACCAGAAATCATCAAATTCCAAGAAACCAAAGATCTTTCAGGCATACAATTGAATAAATGGAATGCACTATCAATTTGTCCATATTTCAAATACCCACTGATTATGGTGTTCCACGATACCACATTTTTCTCAGGTATTTCATCAAATAATGCTTTAGCTATAGTCATTGACCCAATTTTTGCATAGCCATTGATCAGAGTAGTCCATGAAAACACATCCTTCCGAGGCATCTCTTTGAACAATTTGTGTGCTCTTTCCATCTCTCCACACTTTGCGAAAGCTGCAATCATTGAATTCCAAGAAATAAGGTCCCTCTCTACCATCCTATCAAATACTTTCTTAGCGAAACAGATTTCCCCGCATTTGGAGTACATATCAACAAGGCTACTTTGTGTATGGATATCAAATCCAAAACCCATTTTCAAAACATGGCCATGGACTTGTCTCCCTTCTTCTGATGCACTCAAACGTCCACATCCTTTGATCACAATGGGAAGAGTGAATTTATTAGGCGAAACACCATGAAAGAGACAATTGTGATAGAGCACAAGAGCTTCATGGGATCGATGATTGTTAATGTATGCTTTTAAGATTGAATTCCAAGCAAATGATTTGGGTTCTTGGATCTGATCAAAAAGACGCCTTGCGTGGTCGAGATTGTCAGAATGGAGGGTCAAGTAGAGAGAGAAAAGCTTGGTTGATACATGGTCTTGTTTGATGAGGCCGGTTTTGACGAATGGTGTGTGGATTTGATTGAATTCTTTGGTGGTGGTGCAGATGTGCAGGAGAGAGAGAGCAGGGAAGGACGGTAGAGTCCATGACGGATTTGAACAACATGCCAACATTTATCAAAGTGATAAAAAAACATACCTAATTCAGAGAGAGAGAGTATAACGTCTTATATGGTGAGCATTTCATTGTTCTTCTGATTTAGCGTCTTATAAGGTGAGTACTTCAATGGATGAAGAGATCGTTTCTAAAGAAAAATACTACCATATCTCCATGATTCACGTTATATAGAATTTACCTAAATTTTTTTAGTTTTGACCTTCAAAGTTCAAACCCCTTTTTCTCTAATATTTAAACGATCACATTGCCCACGTTTTGGCACTTCAAGATCCAAAACTTTATATTTCTTAAATTAAGTTATTTTTTTAATTTTTGGTTTTTAAATGTCTGAAAATTTTCGACCCAAAAGTTTTCTTACTTTCTATAGTTTCCTATTTTTAAAGTCTGAATTTGTAAAAGCAACTACTAAATTTTCGAGAATTTTTTGGATATTCAAAATAAACAACAAATTATAAAAAACAAAATTTTCAGCTACATTAATTTTGAATATTCAAAATCCAAAAATTGTAAAAAATATATATTAAATTTTCAGGCTAAATAGGTTTTTAGATATTCAAAATCTGGTAGAAATTTTTGGACTCAAAAAATTTCTGGATATCCAAAATCCAAAAATTATAAAAAAATAAGTAAATTTTAAAAGATATATAATTTCAGATCTTAATGATCCGGCAATTTGGTTTTTTAAAAAAAAATAGAAAAAATGGGTAAGAAAGTAAAAATAAAAAATAAGTAATTTTAAATAACGTGAATTATAGGAGATATAAGCATAAAAATTTATTTTTTATTTTTATTTTTTGCATCAATTGATGAAGGGATTATTCTTATCACCTAAGTTGCCCAAAACTTGTCATAATTACCTTTTCCAAACTGGTTATCTTAATAATCAAGCTCTTCCTTACGGGACAAAATCAGTCATCACCTCCCTCCCTCCCTCTTTCAATGTTAAATTTCTCAGTACTTTTGATTTGAACGACTACACAGATTAATAGGCCTCCCAATCCAACCCACAATTCATTATTCAAAACCACCTCCCTCTCCATTTCCTTTTCTCTTGATGAAACCATTCACCAATAGTCTCTGCAAGAACAAAATCCTTTCACGAAGTGATGGAACCGATTTCGGTCCCTAACTATTATATCTCGATAGTATATCTTCGAAACAAGTTTAATCCAAGAGTGGCAATCCTCGCATATACGTAGGTTCTTCACAATCCGAATTGTGCACCTTGGAGCCGTGCTCAAGAGCCCGAACGCAATGGCTAGCTTCTCACTGTGAGCCTCAAGTGCCTCTTCTTTGACTTTCTCATCAACATCTTGCAGTATAAAAGAAGTGTTTGGAACATACCCAGCTTCTCTCAACTCTCTAGAAATCTCACCCAACATCCCATAGATCTCCTTCGACATAGTGTGTGACCTATCTCCCACAACAAATTCATGAACACTGTTATCAACCTCAATTGAACTGCTTCCTGGCACCCTTTGAATCCCCTTCTCCTTTATCAACCTCCTAACCCTTGAAACCTCATCCCATCTATTCTCTTGGGCATAAATATTCGACAAAAGCACGTAATTCCCATCAGCTCGAGGCTCCAATTCGATGAGTTTTTTAGCAGCTTCCTCAGCTAAACTTACATTCTTATGGATTCGGCAGGCCCCAAGAAGAGTTCTCCAAACAATGGCATCTGGGTCAATAGGCATGCTCTCTATGAGCTCTTTCGCCTCGTTAAGGAGCCCTCCACGCCCTAAGAGATCGACCATACATCCATAATGCTCAATTTTAGGACTAATCTTATATACTTCATTCATGGCTTGAAACACCTGTTTCCCTGTATCAACCATTCCTGTATAGCTACATGCCGTTAAGATCCCTACGAACGTAATATCATATGGTTCGATTCCTCTTGCTATCATGGATGAGAAGAGGCAAAGAGCACGCTTTGCTAGCCCATGGTTAGCAAGCCCTATGATCATGGCACTCCATGCTAGCACATCTCTCCCTACCATTTTCTCGAAGACTCTAAGCGAATTCTCTATGCTCCCACACTTTGCATACATGTCTATAAGAGCGGTTCCGAGCTTAACATCCAATTCAATCCCATGTTTGTTAACATATTCATGAATCATTATACCTGTGTTTATGGCACCCAAGTCTCCACATGCAGAGAGAACACTGACCACAGTTATTTTGTCAGGTTTAACATTAGCTAATTGCATATCATAAAATAGTCTTAGAGCATCGTTAGGCCTTCTAGTTCTGGTGTAACCGGCAATCATTGAGCTCCATGAAACTAGATCTTTATTCGAGCTCGAATCGAACATGCAACGAGCACTATCCGTGTCACCGTTTTGGGCGTACCCATGTATCATTGTATTCCAAGAAACCAAATCTCTCACAGGCATGTCGTTGAAGAGTTTTTGAGCCAAACCTAATGCACCCATCCTCAAAAGCTCTGCTAATAATGCGTTATAAGCAACCAAGTCTCTCTCACCCATTTCATCGAACACACATTGGGCTCTCTTAAGCTCTCCACATTTCAAGTACATGATCATCAATTCAGTTTTTACGAACAAATCCCAAGCAAAACCCGATTTCACGAACTGGGTGTGGATTCTCTCTCCTTGACGAAGAGAGGGAGAGCGGCCACAAGCTTGGAGGACCATCGAAAAGGTATAATTGTCAAACTGCATATTTCTCCGGAGCATTTCATCGAATAGAGAAATGGGTTCCTGAGAATTATGGAAATTAAGGTGAGATCTGATCATGGTGTTGTAGATAAAGGTGTCAGGTGATTCAATAATGTCAAAGATGGATTGGGTGTAGACCATGGAATTGGAGGGAGAAGAGAGAGAGGAAGAGCACGCCAAGAGCTTGGCTACTAAGAAGTTGTTGTGGTCTAAAGAGGTCTTGACCATGAAAGAGTGGATTTGGTGGAGGTCTTTGAGGGTGGTGGAGCTTTGAAGGAGGGACATTGTTTCTCTCTCTAAAGCCGCACATAATCTCATCGCCCCTGTATTTCATCTGTGTGTATTTCTCTCTCTAAATTAAGGCCTGCTCGTGGCATAGAGTCGCCGGTTTAACCTTTATTTGATTCATCTGCAGGGAAAGCATGTGGACAGAGCGTGGGGGTTTGACCGAAAATGGGAGGGCATTTATGGCAGTATCTCTAACAATTTTAATGTCTGCTCTTTTTTATTATAGGAAAATATTTTGTTAAGGCTGCAACCCAAATTAAAATAAGAAAAAGCCTCTTCTTAAAAGCTCACGAAAAATTGTGCTTTTAGCTTGGGATAACTTTCAAATCGGTCTCTTGACCTTTATGGTCGTAAAAAAACAAAAAGAATTGTCCATAAAGAGACGATCCATGTGGGGAAGAGATTTATATAAATGCGAGGTTCTAAACAATTAAATTAGAGCGCATCTCAAAAAATTTATTAGAGGAGACTTTTTTTTTATTTTTTGATAGAAATTCTATTACTTTATTCAACTAAAAGGAGATTATATAGTTAGAAAAAATAATCTTAGAAAGGATGGAACCCTCTTTAGCAAGGAAATCGGCCCATACATTCGTTTTCCTATAGACATGTACAAAAGAAAAAGAAAAAGGACGAGAAAGGTCTAAGATTTGAAGAAGCAACTATTTAAACTCTCAAGACAAGTTATGCTCCTCCTTACACCATTTGATGACGTTCAATGAGTTACCTTCAAAGAAACAAAAACTCCCCAATTTTCTCTCCACAAAGATACGAAGGCTAAAAAACAAAGCAAATAGTTCGGCATAATTAGCGGTACGCACCCCTAAATGACTAGCATACGACAATATAACAATCCTTTGCCAATCTCTGAAAACACCACCAAATCCCATAGGACCCGAGTTTCTTAAAGAGCTGCCATCAAAGTTTAACTTAAAAACCCCTACAATCGGAGCCACGCACGCACCTTTCGATATGCGCTATATTGACCTAATAGACAATATATATTTTCCTTTCACATTAATTACATTCACTATCTCATATAATAGAGTAGTGAAAAATCTCTATTTATTTGGTTACACATGATATGAGTGTGCCAAGATGTGTAACTACATGTTGCCTTCCTCTTGCTCTTGAATACTTGTACATGGTCTATTTATAAGCATCAAGCCCCTTAATGGGTGGTTCATAATCATGGCCCAGCGATTGTGGTGAAGTGAGAATAATGGCCCACTTACACGATCATCAATCTTAAACGTGTGCAACATCACCCTTTATCTCGTAATGTTTGGTATAACATTCTTGCCGCATTTAATGCTTATGTTAAGAGTGACTTGATGGACATGGCCTATATTTTTGTTTGGAAAAAGTTTATATAAGGTTGTAACTTTAAAATTGAGAACTACATATGCATTTCAAAAATTTATTGGAAAATATTATTTTAATCTTTAAAAACCCTCTAATTGAGCATCTCGACATCGAGATGTATGATTATGATTTTGAGTCCCAGAAATAATGCGTCTTACAACACATTATCTAGACCATCTATTTTTAAAATTTTCATATATTTATAGATCTACTTGATTTTAACCAAGAGTTTAAATTTTATAATTAGATATAAAAATAGATTTTGAAATAATTCTAAGAATATTTTACATCAAAATTATATGTTATAATAAAATTTGAAGGCGTGCTTTAATTGGATTGTTTAAAGTTACAACCTTATGGAAACCACATCCTTTTTGTTTTGTCACTTGGGCAAATGTAAAATTATTTTTTCGAGAATGTGGTACATTGATTTTGAGAAGGAACAAGGGGTATTTTTGTCGATAATAGACATTTAGAGCAAGCAAAGGAAGAAAGCTAACTCCATATATCTTATTAAGAAATGAAATGTTTTGGATAGGTGTATCGTGCATGAGTATATGCGAGCACGTGCCAAAACGCGGTATAAGAAGGCATGGATTCACCGGTGAATTTAAACGTTATTGTTGGATACTGACTACCAAAGCATTGAAATTATACTTATGTGAGTCCAACACTTAGTCTTAATTTGACACTAATTGTGCTTGACCTTGACCTATAGGAAGAAGAGTTCAGTTTCTCAAAAGCATACTATAACAGAAGTTTAAGCTATGTAAAAAATATGCTCAAACAAGTAGGTCCAATGAATTTGACACTCTATATCACATAAAAAAGAAAAAAAAAAATAGAAAAAAAGAAAAGGATATGGTAAGAGCAAGTCTAATCAATTTTAATTTGTTTTTTCTATGCACAAAATTGAGCTAAAATCCTTGGCTTCTATACTTTTCACCTTTACACACCTACATAAATTATGGGCAAATAATTTAGAAAAAAATATAGTGATTGAAATATCCTCACAGACGGTTAAGAGCATATCTAAGAATTTCAATTTTATTTTATTTTCTATATTTTGAATAAAGCTAAAATTTTGGGAGTCTTGTGATTTTCTCCCTCACAAACTTGTGTAAAATATTTTTGAGAAAAAATGGAATGAAACACCCCAAAAACTCCACATTATATATCGCCTAAAATACAAACGGTTGCCACAATCAAATCTAGATTGGATGTTCTAAGGTATTTCAATTTTCAATTTTTTGTATATATTTGATTAAAAAATATTAAAAAAAATATTTTGTATAAAACAAAATGATGAATTTGCTCTTGACCCTAGCTCTGCCCTAGTCTCTACCTGCTAAGCCCTAGACTAGACCAAGGGCCTTTGCCCTATTAGCACCAGGTCAAGCCAAATATATTCCAAGAAAAAAAGGGGGAGAAAGGATGCTTAACCCCTTTGGCGAACTTTCATTCCACCTATGTCCACAAAAAACCTGTGGACTTATCCAAACTTTTAATAGTAGGACATTAAACCCTCTCTTTCATATTTTCATTATTCAAAATATATTTTTAACCGTTTTATTTATTATATTCCCACATCTAACTCATGCCTCGAAAACACCCTCAAGCTATAATCCTTTAAAACCCCTTTCTCTACCCCTTCTCCCTCTCTCCATCTTTACCATCGTCTCTCGCTCCCTCCCTAAAAGTTAAAGCAATTGAGGCAAAGAAACTCCCGGTTTTGGCCAACTCATCAGCTCTTGAGAGTTACTGTCCTTGAAATACTGCGAGAAAAACTCAAAGACCTGATCAAATAAGAAGTCCAATCTCCAAGAAATCTGTTTTTTCCCCCTTACCTAGAGAATCACATGGCTAGAATCTCCTAAATGCTTCATTGGCCTTAGCTTTAAAGTAGTTTGATCATAAACATTCAACACTAAAAGTAATAAAATTTTAGTCTGAAAATTTCCAAGTCTGTATCAAAAGATATTCCATATCATTGGTTGAGGTTTTCCTTCTAACCTCTCTAACTTTATTGGCAGAAATGCCCAAGCAAGTTGGAGTTTTAAGTGTTTTTTGAGTCTTGAGATCCGTTAAGAAAAAAAAATAGGGCTAAAAGTGTATGACCAATTGTTTCATGTAGGCTGGAACACATTTATGCAATATAATATACGGTCCAGAGGTATAAAACATCCATCTTGAAGATGGATGTAAATAGGTGGTCCATCTAAAAACAATTGTAACTAAAGTCCCAATGTTCTTTTAATATAATTATTATTTCTAGTTTTCAAAAAAAAAAAACCATATTCATGATCTCCATGTAAAATATATATAATATTTACTACAAATTAGGATCAAATTATATCTAAAAAATTTAATACATCTTACAGCACATTATCTGGACCATTCATTTTCAAGATTTTCCTACGTTTATTGATCTACTTGATTTGAACTATTTTTGGAGTTTAAAATTTTATAATTAAAAATAAAAATAAATTATCAAGCCATTATAAAAAATTTCAATACCAAAATTATATCTTATAACAAAGTTTGGAGGTGCACTTTATTTTAATTGTATATGCAGGTGCACTTTATTTTAATTGTATATGCAAACCTCCCCAACCCCTTCCCCCCCCCCCCCTTCCCCACCTCCCCAGAACGTATGTGGAAAGTCGCTCAACCTATATTTTTTTCAAAAATGCCCCCTCAATCCGAGGATGTCATTTGTGGATTGCTTTTTTTTCTCTTAAACGTTTTTCGAAATAGGGTTGTACTCAAAGTTTTACGTCAGTGCCCAATCAATTTAGGGAGTGATCCGAGGTTCCTATCCTCAAGCAACCTTTTTCTTTATTGCCAAATGAGAATATGGGCAGTCTAAGGTTTCCATCCTCGAACTGCCTATTTTTTCATTTGTAAGTGAAAATATGAACGGTCCAAAGATAGCATTCACAGAAAACTAAGCACTACCTTAAAACTTGGGGCATAACTCTATTTCAAAAAATGTTGAAATAAAAAAAAAAAAACAGTGCCATCTTCAGGGGCCAATTTTAAAAAGAATAAAAAACTGCAGATTGGCCGCCCTTTGTCATAAATTTTCATCTTATCCCAATTTCTATTTTCCTTTTTAATGTCCGTACACATATTACTCGAAAAATGTAGCCGTCCAGTTGGATGGTGTTTCTCATGCAAAACCGCTATATCTATTCCTCAATTCAAACAAAGTTCGCAAGACGATGAAATCACGAAAGCGGTTGCTGAAAGTAGAAAGCCGTGGTGGCGCGCAATGTAGACTCCTTGCTTGCCTTTTTGCAACGCCACCGCCACGATCTCCGCAAAATCAAAGAAGCCCACGCCCTCGCACTCGTCTCCGGCCTCCATCGCCACCCCTCCTTAGCCACCAAACTTATCGGCCTCTACTCTCTCCCTAACCTCCTCAGCCACGCCACCCACGCCTTTCTGGACGCACACTTTGCTCAGCCACGAGACCCCTTCCTATGGAACGCCATCATTCGAGCCCACTCCCGCCATGACTCGCCTCTCGGAGCTCTGTCTCTCTACACCCAAATGCTCTCTTCCTCTCTCTATCCTGATGGATTCACTTTCCCATTTGCTTTCAAAGCATGCGCAAGTGTCCGAGACATTGGGCTCACGCGCCTGGTGCATGGCCAAGCCGCTGTCTTAAGCCTCTCGCGTGATGGCCTTGTTGGCACTGCACTCGTGAGTGCATATGCGCGTTGTTGTGCACCGGAAGATGCGACTAAAGTGTTTGATGAAATGTGTCGGAGAGATGGGGTGGCTTGGACAGCATTGGTTTCAGCCTATTCGATGAATGGGTGGGCTGATGAGGCCTTTGAGGCATTTGGGAAAATGATGGGTTTGGGTTGTGTTGTTGATTCAGTGACTCTTTCGAGCTTGCTCTTGGCTTGCACTAGGGATCTTTGGCGAGCCTGTCGGGTCCATGCATTTGTGGCTAAAGCTGGGTTCGAGTGCTATGCTTCGGTTTGTAACAGTCTTATAGATGCATATGCAAAATGTGGAGCTTATGATGAGGCCATGAGGGTTTTTAGAAGCCAGAGCTTTACCAAAGATGTTGTTTCATGGAACACTGTTATTGCAGGGCTTGCTTTGAATAAACAGTCAGATAAAGCACTCGCTGTGTATGAAGAGATGACAGGGGAGGGTGTGAAGCCAAATCGTATAACTTTGCTCTCACTTCTTCCCGCTTGTGGGGAGTTTGGTTGCTCGAAAACTGCTAAAATAGTGCATGAGAGCTTTGCAAATGACGCCTGGTTTGATGTGGAGGCCGATGTTGTAGTAGCAACTGCTCTGATTCATATGCATGCCAAGTGTGGGAACATGGAGCTTGCTCGTGACCTCTTTGAAAAGCTCGAGAGGAGTAAAAGAAATGTCGTTTGTTGGAGCGCCATGATTGCAGGATATGAACAGGGATTTATGCCTGAGGAATCTCTGAAACTCTTCGATAGAATGGTTGAGGAGGGAGACTCAAAGCCCAACTCGGTTACGATTGTGAGCGCCCTCTCTGCATGTGCTCAGCTTGGGGTGTTACAGAGAGGGAGAATGATTCATGGTTATGCTGAGGCAAATGGGCTCGACTTAGACCCAACTGTTGCGTCTGCATTGATAGACATGTATGGCAAGTGTGGTGATATGGGCATGGCAAGAGAGATTTTCTCAAAAATGGCCATTGGCAAGAGAACCATTGTGTCATGGACATCCATGATGGGCATTGAGGGCTTGCATGGGCATGGAATGCAAGCAGTCGAGCTCTTTAATGCGATGATAGGTCATGGTGTTCGCCCCAACGAGGTGACATTTGTGTGTGTTCTCTCGGCATGTAGCCACTCAGGCCTTGTTGATGATGGATGGAATTGCTTTGATAGCATGATCAAGGATCATGGCATTGAGCCCAATGCAAGACACTATTCATGTATGGTAGACCTTCTTGGACGTGCAGGCCGGCTTGAAGAGGCCCATAAGCTCATAATGAGCATGGCTATTGAGCCGGATGCATGTGTATGGGGTGCCCTTTTAGGTGCTTGCAGGCTCCATGGGGAAATTGGGCTTGGTGAATTGGCTCAAGCTAAGCTTTTCTCTCTCAATACAGATGGCATCGGTCATCAAGTGTTACTTGCTACAATGTATGCTTCAGCTGGGAAATGGGATGATGTTATAAGAACCAGGGTACAACTAAAACACAAAGGGGCAAAGAAGATTGCTGGTTTGAGCTTCATTGAGATAGGGAGTAAGCTCCATGCTTTCATAGTGGAAGATAGATCACACCCTGATTCAGACCGGATTTACAGAGAGTTGGAAGCTTTGGATCGAAAAGTTACAAATCTGGGCTATGTACCTGATACAAGCTCTGTGGTGCTAGACATGGAAGAGTGTCTGAAGAGACAAGTGCTCAAGTATCACAGTGAGAGGTTGGCCATGGCTTTCGGGATTTTAAGAACTGGTTCTAGTGAGCCCATTAGGATAACCAAGAACCTACGAATATGTGGAGATTGCCATGTCTATACCAAATTCGTCTCGAAGGTCACAGGGCGAGAGCTGATCATCAGGGATGCTCGTCGATTTCACCATTTCAAGGATGGCTTGTGCTCTTGCAGTGACTATTGGTGAAGGAAGTTAAATTCACTTTTCGTCATTCAATTCAAAAAAAATAATTCATTTTTATCATTTTGGGTTCATGGACATTAGCCATATCACAAAGGAAAAACTTTCCATTTAGACTCTTGTGACAGGAAAATACAGGGCATGTATTATGAATTTTCTTAGTTATACGTTCTGAAAATTGTGACATATTATATACTACCCATCAAGAGATTTTATAAAATATCAGAAACGACATTATATCGTGGGCCAAACGTTTTGAAAAACTGTAGTTTTGATTGGGTGTTTTTTTTCTGTATAGAGCCAAGGCTCTAAACAATTAAAGTAAAGCACACCTTCAAATAGTGTCGAGATATACAGTTTCAATACTAGAAATCTTTGTAATAGCTTTAAAAAATATTTTCATATTTAATTATAAAATTCAAAGCTTCAAAAATAGTGTATATCGAGCAGATCTACGAAAACTTAAAAATCTTGAAAATTGACTGTCCAAAATGAATTATTGATGTTAGGATGATGGATTTGAGGATATTTGAGCATCCAAATTTTTGAGGTAGGCTCTAATTTGATTGTTTAGAGTCTCAGCTCTATATAAACTTTTTCCTTTTTTCTGATCACTATTATGGGGTAAACTTATCCGAACCAATACTAGAAACTGGCCCAGCTTATGATGATGGGAATGGCAAAATTGAGAAGGAGAAATGGAAGTTAATTAAAGGGCTTACATGCCCCCTGAGCTTTTGAATTCATACTATGCCTATTATTCATGTGACTAACATGTGATTATAAGGGTCTGTACCTTCCGGCATCCATTAATGAGGTGGAGGGTGATGGAGAGATTGGGACATACAATTGATTCAATTTCATGTTCTGGTGGGCTGCATACTCTCTTCATCACCGTCCATCCAATTGATCTAATGGTGATATGTGGTCATATCGCACTCATTCTTCATTAGTGTTTTAAAACCTAGCGACAAATTGCCAATTTGGATGGGAAACGGTCAAGCCCAAATTGGTTCTGAGATGGTATGAGTCTTAATTTAGGTTTCCTATATCATATTGTACTCATTCTTCGTCAGTGTGTTAAAACCTAGCGATTTCCAATTCGAATGGTCATTTTGGATGGGAATCGGTCAAGACCGAACCGGTTTTGAGATGGTATGAGTCCTAACTTGGTTTTCTTATATATATATATATATAT